AATACTGCACATTAAACAAAGTTACAAATTACACAACGTGAGAATTTACGTCGCTGCCAATAAAGATAAATTACGTATTATCGAAATTGGTTTAATAAGTATTTACATCATTAGAAATAAATCTTACCAGATATCCAGTATTATAAAATATGAAACATAATTATCAAGGCATCGTGAAAGTCGATGACTTCAAAAGTAACATGAAGGGTTGTACCTCTTACACCGTAAAGGTAGAAATCTAATAGTTATTTTATTTGGTGGGGTAAGCGCTTATGTAGTGCACGAAGTTAGTATACATGCATATTAATTATCAAATAGTGGTCTGTCATTGGTACACTGGTCGTATTCGTATACCTGGTCAGTTTGTAAGCTAAAAATAGAAATATCACATGAAGGGTTGTACCTCTTACACCGTAAAGGTAGAAATCTAATAGTTATTTTATTTGGCGGGGTAAGCGCTTATGTAGTGCACGAAGTTAGTATACATGTATATTAATTATCAAATAGTGGTCTGTCATTGGTACACTGGTCGTATTCGTATACCTGGTCAGTTTGTAAGCTAAAAATAGAAATATCACGTGATAAAACCAAACATACACAGATGGCACTCATTCAAACAAACGGCGCTATTTTGATTAGCAATGCCCGTTAATCAAGTATAATTTATTAACAAAATATTTAATTAAATATCAACTGTGACATTAAACTAATAGTATTAGATCTATTTAGTAAATATCTATCTTTAAGGACTATAATTAGCTCAAACATTTAATTATATTGAATTAAAAGAAACGCACTATTTCTCGTGCTTATCACTGTGATATACGCGAGCCAACGACAGAGGGGAATGTATGAGTCGATGGTAGAGAGTGTGACCACAGCTGGACAGGCTTTACAAAGCTACGCTCATAGGCAAAATGTTATATTTAGTTTGAAATAACATGTCAAATTGTAATATTTAAGTCCGCTTATCTTAATAATCAAACTTGAACATAGTAATGCTTCACATAAATAATAAACACCTACAAGGGTATAAGGGTATAGTTAAATGCCATTACAAGTACATGTATATATTAAAGTATTAGTAGGTTGGAAGAATTGCTTTCGCTCTCGATGCAACAGAACCAGAATTTATCCATTTTAAAATAAATCAGTACAAAAAATTAAATTGACAAAAGAATTGTTTGTTTGCATTAAAAAATATTAACGCTGCATGCGAGGATCGAATCAAAAATTTTTTTTCGACTCCATTGCACTGGAAGGGACACGCATATTACTGAGCTATCATCGCTACACATACAACTTGTCTTTTAAAACGACAATGAAGCACCGCATTTGTACATTGGAATTTTTTTTGGGGAAAAGTTCATTTTTGATGGTCTCTGGGTTTTCTCTCCATTTTTTTTTCTACAAATGATTGTTTTTTTTTAAATTATAATGCATACAAATAACGTTTGAAAATCATGGAGAGATGACCCAGAGATAGCAAATTTTTAGAAAAACGTGTTAAAAGATGTGACAATTTGTACCAAATGAATCATCTAGTCTATTTTCAAGTTATTTTTTTTTTTTTTAGCAAATCAGGCCTCGAGACCATAAACTGAGAACAGACTTAAGTCAAAATTTTGATTTTGAATACCTTGTGATTTATATAACATACATACTTAAAACTTTGCAGGTATTTATAATATTCCAATTTAAGCATATGATGGAAATTTTGTTTCGTTCTCAAAATTATTTCAAAAGTTGTATTGATTTGAATTTTTGACTTAAGTCTGTTCTCAGTTTATGGTCTTGGGGCCTGAATACAATTTCGGGAAAATATTTCCCTTTCCTATTTCACAGGAACCCAAATGATCAAAAGAATGCTAAAATTTCGTGTGATAGATCATTGAAATTTTCACTTTTCAAGTGCGCCCAGATTCCTGCCGAATGCCAATCAAAAGCGCTCTCGTTCTTTATGAAAATTGATATGAATATCTATATAAATTCAAAAAATAATTGGAATATGATAACTTTTGAAAATTTAATTGGAGGTAGGCGGCGAAACAATATAATCATTCTCAGTCATTTCTTCAATGTAACAGAGAAAATTGGTTATATGGCACACACACACCACTCAGCTTAAAGGGGCGTGGACACAGAATTGAAGTTAAATTCCGGGACGCGTTTGATTGACACATCCTTGCACTTTCACAAAGTAAACTTTATCCTTAATACTAAAGAAAAGTAGAAATTTTTATTGTGTATTAATGAAAAATATTAAAACTATAATCCAGAAAATTCAGAGTAGAAATGTGTGAAGGCAAAACCAACTCACCAGTATAGTCATTCCTTGTTCAGTGATGTGTGCAGAGTTTAACAAATTGAATGCACCCGGTGAAACGTAAACATTATCAAAAACAGAGCTCGTACCCTGTTTACAAAAACAGATGTTTGAAGTGATGTAAAGAAGGATGCCGTTGTCATTGAATTCTAAGAATATTCATATAAATCCAATTCATTTAAGGTCAGACGACACGTTACTCAATAATAAATAATTTTTTCCAAGAATTTGTCATTGAAGTATTGCTACTTAAACAAGTTTCCTCACCAAAAATTGAGGTACCTTACCAGGCATTTGGGCAAGATATCAGAGGATGCTATTTAACTATATAATACTACTGGAATCACTAGCATTGCCAATATCACAATTTTGTGGTGTCTTTATCTACTAAGAAATTTTGAAAATAGTTTAAAATTCGCAAAATAATGATAATTATGATTAATTTGTAGTATAAATTGAAGAAATACGAAAAAGATATTCGGGCAACGTGTCGTCAGACCTTAACTGGTTTTATTTTTTGAATAAGCATAAAAAATTAAAATGTAATCAATGCAACCGTGCCCAGGCCCCTTTTATGTGACAAGAGAAGGATTTAAATCCTGAAACACAGCATTTCGGATATTGAAGCATTTGATGGCCATACTTAACATTGAATGCTGCCCTTGACGTATTCCCATGCAATTGTACGTTTTGCATTTATAATGCCACACGGAAAATTCAAAATGAGAACATGACACGACTATCACTTTAAATGAGGCCGGATGCTAGTTACAAAGTAGTTCTGAAATTGTAGATAAGCTGAGGTATAAAATTCTATCAGCGAGTTTTTATTCAGACATTAGTAAATGATAACCATACTTTATTAAAGGTTCCTCTTTATCCGATAAAATCTATATCAGTCATTGGATACAATTTTAATAATTAATCCACATCTTGTATCCCAACGCCTCTTGACGTCCTGTAAACATATATGAACACGGAAGTCCGAGATTTCACAATGATTTAAAGCTAAATAAGATTAATTTTAACAAAATCTATTATTTTTAAAAGGCATTTTACCCCCTTCAAAACACACTTCCTTTGTGGTGTTCTATTTTGTGTGTGTGTGTGTGTGTGTGTGTGTGTGTGTGTGTCTGTGTGTTGTTATGAGGAGTATACTGCAGCCCATGGAAAGAATCTGCTGTTTTGTGATTTTATATGCTTTTCTATTCAATTTGTTATGTTTTTTCTATCCTATCGCCAAGGGGTGGGGGGGGGGGGGGTAGAAAGCACCACATATGCCAATTTTTGAGAAACAAGACGATGTTTGCTGAAAATCTATATCTTTTCGGAAAAATTTCTCAGATCGTTTGCGATCAGTCAGAAAGTCAGAAGAGCAAGGCTTCCGAAATTTTTATTTTTATAGCTATAAGTGTGTGAAGAACCGATGAACGCCGATCTATCTTCAAATTCAGATAACACCCAAACAAATACAATATTTGTAGGTTTTAACTAACATTTGCATTATCATCGATATAGAGTTTCGATATCTCCATATATGAGTATGTTTCCTTCATCGATATAGAGTCGATATCTCCACATTTGAGTATGTTGGCATCATCGATATAATTTCGATATCTCCACATTTGAGTAATTTGTACCATCGATGTAGTTTCGATATCTCCACATTTGAGTATGTTTGCATCATCGATATAGTTTCGATGTTTCCACATTTGAGTATGTGTCATAAGTACTTTGATATTTCAATAAAATATATTAGCAAATTTTTTTTTATAATTACACTGAATGACTCCACACAACATGTAATATTTTTCTGCGCTTTTATTTTCAGATAAATATGTAACAATGACATCACGCAACAACAGCAATTAAAGTATCAACAAATCTGATTCAAATGCGCATCTTTTGAATAATCCATAGATTGTGCCAAATATAAAACAGTGTAGGAATGGGTTCTCTCTCTCTCTCTTTCTCCCTCTCTCTCTCTCTCTCTCTCTCTCTGACACAAAGATAGACAACATAGCATATAACTTTCTTTAAACGGAAAACATAATCTTAGTCTTTCCATAAGTGTAAGAAAAGATTTATCTGTCGATCAGATTTTGTTCCATTTTCAACAACTATTAGAGATCAAAGAGTTGGTAATGAATTCCATCGATTACGGAAAGCAGCTTAATACACAACAACGAACCGTCCCAGAACTCGGATGAAACTTTGGTTTCAAGAACATAATAGACACATTAACAATTTTTTTTATTATTCGGAATCAATTATTTGTTGATGTATGAATATTTATGATAAAAACTACACCTGTCACAACAAATTACAACAGTTATCAATTAATTTCTCGAAAACGTAAAACAATAAGCACTCATACATATCCTGAAATTGCTATTCCTACAATATGTGATGTAATAAGTTCAATTTATTTTGGTTAATTATTAGCAATGTTACACTAATCCTTCAATGAGTGGACACCCTTTAAATGATGAATATCATCTGATTTCTAGAATTATCTTTATGTTTTTTTGTACCTTATGCATAATATCACAGAAAGCTTACTTGGCCATTTCTAGAGTTTTCTATACAGCAAAATTCTTTATACAGTTCACTTTATACAATTCAAGTCATCAAATACTAGTATACTTACATAATTATTACAAACAAGCGCGTCTATACTAGTACTAATTATTAGTAACGTCCTAAATTGTACGCAAACATTTTTTTACTACATATTAACCGAAGCCAGGACAAAAACCTATATAATAATAATAATAATAAAATTCTAACGATTTTAAATCCTAAATCGAGGGAAGACTACATATACCACAAAATAAATTTTTTAAAAATACTGACAAGCTAATTGTGCATTTCAAGAGATTTACCTATTTATACCAACACATAATACAGGTGGCGCATTATAAACGGAAATTCTAAATCTGCTTAGTGTATTGACTGAAATGATGAAACTAATTTGTATCACGTCTGTGTTCAACTTGATAAAAATCTATCAAGATTTTTCTGAAATTCGTTACCCATGATCTTGTTCATAACTGTTTTATCCACAGGTGGAGCTGGTGAGTTATCTCCTTTTCCCGCCAAATTTTTCAGATCATAATCTGTAAGCTTGTCTAGCTGTTCTATAGCACTCTGTAGATCTCGATCCTCTTGTGATGGGGCCCTAGGTGGGTCATCAAAGTATGGCACAGGCGTTTCCGGTTTGGGCTCCCTTTTCGGGGGAGCAGTGGTGACGGGCGGGGGAGCTGCTTTACTCTGTACTGGATTGGACAGAACATCTGGAATATCATCACTGTCATCGCTGTCTTCTGGAACTGGTGGTTTGGGCTTAGATCCAGCCTTAACCTCGACATTTGCTGAACTCTCTGCCTTCTGTGCTGGCGGTTTACTCTTTGTTGGAACAGCTGCTTTCGGGACTTTGAATGATTTTCCTTTTTCTGTTTTATTTTCTTTTTCTGACTCAGAAGAATGATCCCATTTAATCTCTTTCGGTTTTCGTTTTGGAGATGCAGGTTTCTTCTTTTTATTTTTCGGTTTTTGAGGTGGAGATTCTGGCTCCTCACTGTCGTCTTCGTCATCAGATGGTTCTGGAGTTGGTTTCTTTTTCTTTGGTTTTGCTTTCTTTTTAGATACTTCTTTTTCCTTTGGTTTTGGACTTGGTGGAGGCGTTTCTTCATCTTCATCATCAGATGGCTCCGGACTAGACTTCTTTTTCTTTTGGTTAGATTTTTCTCTTTTTTTGGGACTTCTTGATCGAGATTCAGTATCTTCATCAGATGGACTATGATTTTTCTTTTTATTCTGCTTCCCTTTTCTATTCTTTGAGCGTCCTCTACTTTTACTTCGACTTTTGTTGACCTCAGGAGAGCTAGACCCAGAAGACTCTCTTCTAGGCTTTGCCTGCTTCCTTTTTTCTGAGGGAGTTCTATGTTTGGATCTGTTTTTCTTTCTGCTTTTCGAGCGACCCCTACTTTCACCCTGCTTGATGTTAACATTTAATTCTGGCGATGATGATCTGGACGAACGAGACTTACGACTCCGAGAGTGAGACTTTTTTCGGGACCTTGACCTGGAATGTTTGTGCTTAGGTGACTTAGAACGAGAGTGAGATTTTTTATCTCTGTGATCTCGTGAACGAGACCGAGATTTTCTTTTTCGAGATCTGGATCGAGATTTGCGAGTTGGTGAAACATTCACGACAATTGGTCTGTTTTTGGAACTTGAACGACTTTTGTGTCGTCTTTTAGAATCTGATCGGCTTCTTCGTCTTCCACGCGATCTAGAACGACTTCTGCGTTTGCGAGAATCTGAGCGACTGCGCTTTCTTTTCCTTGAATCCGATCTACTTCGTTGTCTGTCTGAGTGAACATGATTTACCACTATCATGTGTCTTTTTCTGGAGTCCGATCGACTTCTTCGTCTTTTTCTGGAATCGGAGCGACTTCGCCTTCTTCTTGAATCTGATCTACTTCTTTGACTTCTTTGTCTTTTTCTGGAGTCCGATCGACTTCGTCGTCGATGTACTTGATTGGAATGTACTACAACTGAAACTCTATCATGCTTTGGAGATCTGGATCTAGATCTCGATTCGTGGCGTCTTCTTGATGGAGGTGTGCGAGATCGTTCTTTTCTTCGCTCCATTCCAACAACAGGAACCCCTACGCCAATGTCAGGGTCAAAATGTCGGGAATCTCTGGGAGGATAAACCTGACTACGAGATGGGTCATCGTCTTCTTCATCGTCGTCCTGTTGAGGATCACGTGGTCGTTGGATAGGAGGTAGAGGTTCACGCTGTTTACTGCGACTTTCCTGTGGAAGAGGCGACTCATGGCGATTTCTTGAATCTGTTCTTGGTTGATTAGATTTTATGGGTGGAAGGGGTGGTGTTGCTGACAGCGAATGACCAGAGCCTTGTTTCGTTAGCCTTTTCTGTGGACAGAATGTATGTCTTTTACTATAAATGCTTCATTGGGTGAGTGATACTGTGTACTATAGTATTTACATCAAACTGTGCTATTTTCTTCTTTTTGTAGTATACTTACTCTGGTGCTAGGCGAGTCGTCCATATCTTGTTGGGATGGTGAATGTTTCTGAAAAAATATCGTAATGACCTTCAAATTTCAAAGAATTGTTAAGTTCAGTTAACTAAAATATAAAAGTATGTATACAAAAAGGCAAGTTCTGGTAAGTAACAATAGACCAAAGATAAAGTATTGATCGTGAGTTGCAAGTTAGGGTATTTCAGAATTTGCGTAAAAAAGAAAGTCTTTGTCTGGCACTTATCATATTTACTTTAGGTGGAGATTGGCGTTGATTTTGGGCGGGTGAAATGGTTGGCTCAGGAGTAGGTGAACGTCGTTCGTTTTCCTCTAGACTGGCAAAGTCAGCTATATCCACACTAGCGAACGCGCTGTCGTTCCTTTCGCCATTCGCCCCATCTGCAGACTGGAATTAAGCAAATTGTAAATGTACTTAAGTTTTATCGACGTTCATTATGAAAAAAATAATGAACAAATGACAGCATTTAAGAAATCCTGTACATAATCAAACTTAACTTTATGACATGTTTACCCATTTATCCTATGGAAACACTTCGTGTCGTGTTAGGATTTGTTTCTAATAAACAAATGCATATATATGTATTTGCATTTGTAAAAATTCGAGATCAAAGTAAAACTCCATGAATTTAATCAATTAAATAACTGAAATCACAATTTTTAAAAAATCAGTCTTTTTTTTAAAATTTCATTCTGCACAACTTTTAGTGTCATAATAATACTGACGTTGTTATGAGGCGTAGGACAGCAGACGGGAAAAGAAACGGAATAAGGGGGAAAACAAGAAATAAAACCCTGTACAATATTTATATTATAGGAAACGATTAATCGAGAAATAAAATATAGAAACAAAAAGACATTCGAATGTAATAGAAGTTCTGATGATTCTTAAGACAATTTATACTCTTCAGATCATTGATACCAAACTGAATATATCATAATAAGATACTAAGATTAATACAGCTGTACAGCTATTAATTGTGTACTTACATTTACATAGTTAAAGTGTGCCAGCATAAAACAAGGACGATGAAAGTTCTCACCAATTCCCTCAAAAGTAAACACTTACCATTTTAATTTTACAAGAGAAAAATAAATATTACTTTCAGGACTGTCTGAAAGTTTTTGTTCTCGAGGAGAAATGTGTAAATTTATGTCAATCTCTTGAGCACTGACTCGACAACAAAAATAACTATAAACAACTGTAAAACTACAACAAAATTAACTATAAACATCAGTGAAACTACTACACTGTAGGTAGATTTCCTTATTACGTTCATTTGTAGTGTAGCAGGCTCAAACCGGAAGCTGGGCACTGTATGGTTTACATTATACAGTTAATTTGCTTCGTTTTACCAGGTACAAGAACCTTTATTAACAGAGTTTTTATCATAAAACTGGAGAAAAATTGACTTATAAAACTTCAAACGTTGTCTTTGGAATTGAATGTACTGAATGCAGACTGATTTATTTTTGGGAAACAAAGGGTTCACTCTACAAGAGAATTTAGGGGTATAGGATGAAATTAATAATGGGGGGCATCAACATCTTTATATACATTCCAGTTCGCCTGATCACTCTTTTCTTTCAATCAAAGAATTTTGGAAAAAAATATTTCATCCCACTAATGGCCTCACTTTAAGTAATCCATTCCGTAAACCCGAAAAGAATACTGGATCAGGAAACTAGGAAAGGCAATTCCGTATTGTTGCAACGATCACATAAATAATAATTTCAAGCCCACAATGTGCCAATGTTAATGTGATGGGACTTTATAATAAAACACCTAGACGTAGACGTAGTCATTGACATCGATGATATAATAGACCAAGTATACACGATGTAAACAATTACTAATAGGTCTTCATCATATTCGCACTAAACTACTCGGTTCCCTAGAAATGTTTGAATGGACTGTTTGAAGAAGCTAAAGCAATCTAGTCCATACTTGGATTCTTCAATCGCAGAATACAAGCTAGTGTTTGTGATTATGGATGTTGCCCAGAACGGGGTCTTTAAGCCACCACGTGTGTTGGAAGATAATAATTCTGATCCAACCCGTCAATTTCTTAAATTAAAAATTTGCCAACAAAGGAATAGGTGATGTGGATATTTGAGTAACATTCTTAATCATAAAAAAAAAATCAGTCTTGCATTCCACTATATTTCAAGTTGAAGTCATAAAGATATTCTCAAACTGTTGCTTCCAAACTTTTGAACCTTACAGAGCCTTGAAATTGAACATCTAAAATAAAATCTTCTGAAGATTTCTTGATCTTTAAACTAAAGTTCCACTGGACACGTCGTTACCGGTGATGTTCGTATAGTTGTAAATGACAGCCTAAAAGCAATCATCTTAAATGGTACTAAATACAGGGGGCCCCGATCTTTCAGTTGGCAATAGAACTTCATTTCTATTATGAATTCTGTCGAAGAGTATTCAAGACGTCGGGGTTAATATAAAGAAGAAGACCTGAATACTTTGCCAGAATGGATTTAGTGTTTTAGAAATATTTAAAAATCGTATTAGAAAGTTAAAAGGCAAAATGCGAACCATCTTTCATTCCGTATTCACTATATTGGAGATGATAAAAGAAATAGAAAGTGTACATGAACAATATATATATATATATATATATATATATATATATATATATATATATATATATATATATATATATATATATATATATGTTATGGTCCCAGCAGACAAGGCTTGTAACAATGTCGTCTTTGTTTGCAAGGTTCACTATTATAACTGTATTTTAGAAGAGCTTGGTTTTAATTCTACGCCTTGATATAAAACTTATACTCACAATTCACTTTCTAAGGATGAAATTCTTCAGAATCACATTTCAGTGTTTAATACTTTTAACATCCTAGTCAACGAAGGTGTATTCAATCTACTCTACCCATACTAGATCCTTAAACTTCATAAAATTCCTTACAAACAAAGATACAATGTACATTGCCGAGTCCAGCAAATGCTCTACCAAGCCCCTATCTTTACTCCTCACAAAATATTATCTCCTTTAAAGTAGAAACTTCAGACGTACTGTGCTATAGCATATTTTAGAAGTGGTGTAAATCAGTTTCAATCACTCCAAAGAACTTTTAGAAAATCTAAGATCACCAAATTTTTCAAAAGTCAATAACATACAAAGTCAAAAACGCACGACTTTTCTTTATACGACCAGTCCTTATGATAAATTAAAAACTAGGCTTTATAAATCATAGACAACTGCTTCTTCAATAAAAACGGAACTCGGAAATTTCCATATCTTGTGATTGGTCAACAACAATATTACTTTGTAAAAAATTACTTTGATTCTACACACAAGTACTCTGGTTCTAAATACAAGTACTCTGATTTTACACACAGGTTCTCTGAAGTTGATATAAAAAAAAATCCTCGAGTTGCTCATTGACAACATCTCTGTATAGTCATCGGAGACCAGGTCTTTCAACAAACTATTAGAATTGTGATAGGCTCTAATTATGCTCCTTTATTAACCGACCTGTGTTTATATTTTATTCAAAAACTTCTACATGAGAAGAAGAAAATACATGCTGTAGCCACTCCACATTCAGATTTATGAATTAACAATGGTTACTTCCATTCATACATGAACATGTATGTCGACTCGACATATCCCTTTGAACTCGAAATAAAAGATACCACAGAGTCTGCCACATCTGTTTCATATTTGGATGTTTTACTGACGTAGATGATAAGGGCTAACTAACAATTAAATTGTATGACAATCGAGATGACTTCACACGTGTCAGCTTTTCCATCGTCAACTTCATTTATTGATATAGAAATATATCTCAATCACCTGCTTGTGGTGTTAACGTCTCCCATCTTATTCGATATTCATGAGCATGTCTGAATACAATCAATTTTTAAACCTAGGCAGACTACTGACAAATAAATTTATGTAACAGGGATTTCAACAACCTCGTTTAAAGTCAGCATTTCGTATACAAGTATTCTATGGTCGTTATAATGACCTTGTTAGCAACAAAAAACAAACAAACAAACAAAAAGCAAGCAAGCAAGCAAAAAAAAAAAAAAAAAATAAAAAAAATAAAAAAAAAAAAAATCAAAAAACAAAAACAAAAAACATAATCCCACCTCTGGAATTTCCGGGGATCCGTGTTTTATATGCCCTATTTACATATTTGTATTGTCTGTAGATTTTTTGGGGATCAATCTTCGACTTTTCGTTAAAATAAATACGAAAGCGCATTTTCTGTAAAATATTTTCTTTATATAGTTTCATATAATGTAAAATTATCGTAGCTATATCATCAACAATATCTCTGCTGAACGAATGAAAATTACACTTAGCTTAAGTACCTGAGTACATCAAGTCAGAATATTTTTCAGGAAACACTGAATGTATTATTCAGCAGATGCTGAATATTTATAAGTTAATTATTACTATTCTTCCGACAGGAACGAAATTAAGGGTGTCTCACAACGAATAAATATTTGAACAGTGCTTAACAGTCTTAAAGCTTAGGATCTTCAAACGAACTAGCGATGTTACGTCATTAAAAGTAGTGTTTCACATATCAAAAACTTTAAAATACTCAATTCCCGGTTTATCAAACTAATCACTTCCCTTAGCCCCCCCCCCCCCCCCCGCCCCACCCCAGCTTTGTCTGCGAAAAAAGGAGTGTTAAAGAAAAAAAATGTCTTACCTAAACCAAGGTTTAAGTTGGATTTCGAGCTTCACTGCCAGGCCATTAATAAAGAATTTTAAACTTTATAAAAATCAATAGAAAGTTTGATTAATAATAAATAGAGATTTGTCGCTTTGTTTACATGTGGAATGCATCGATAATCAACATCTATTTTTACTGACGAATCATCGATTTCCCTGAAGATGAATAAATGCATTTAAAACTACATTTTTGAGCAACGGCATTCAGAAAATAATAGATGGAAGAGTGTACTAATATATAGTATGCCGTATCCTCTCTCAAATTAACAAAACTAATCAAACAGATGATAAAAGGTAAATGAACTTTTCAAAACTATTGTTTAGTTTGTATGTTAATTTTCACCTCTATTATTTATTCCTTATGAATATAAGTGGCAGCCCCAGTAGCCATCAAGATATTTGCATTTTAGAAATTAAATGTTCTCTTTCTGTTGTTAATTCTTGCATGATTGATTATTCGCTGCTGCTGGCAAACAACACTTGCCAGCACCAGACACTAGATATTCGATCAACTAAAATTGATTTCCATCATTCAAAGTTACAAAGTTATGAGCAAAGAACGATATTGGATTGATGGAGTTTCAGATGTAACGATTTGTGCTTATAAGAGTTAAACTACAAAAGTGTCTTAAGTAATGTATGACAAAAATTCGAT